CCTTTCCTTTCAGTACAGCTATTGACCTGTTCCATACTATAAGGCTATTTGAAGGGTACCCAACATCTCGTTAAGAGTTCACTCACTGATAACACTTCCAACATGGCGGACTCTCAGATTCAAACCAAAACAAGGGTCTTCTCGAGCATCGGCACCCATTAATCTCTCTCTCTCTCTCTCTCTCTCTCTCTCTCTCTCTCTCTCTCTCTCTCTCTCTCTCTCTCTCTCATGGAAAGAGAACATGGCAAAGTTAGGGGGAGAAATCATTGTAGGCCAAAACGAATTGAGTCTCGACATGGTTTGACAGGGTGTGTAGTTCAACAACACCACTGTACTCACGTCATGTGTTTACCTCTGTCTTGGTATCATTTCTCAGTAGTCTCCTCTATAAAGGCCCAAAGAGAACTATGGCACAGATAGTAGCGCGTCAGGTGTGTGTCCACAAGTGCCCAGGTTTGTTGACTTAAGAGACAAGGATGGGCGAAATGAGGTCAGTCTAGGCTTTGGTGCTGTGCTAACGTGCGTGAGAATTGTGACGTCACGATATAGTGAGTAGGTAAAATATATAGCCTGCTGTCAGCGTGTTGGGGGTCTGTCATAAGTCTATCTTGGATAATTATGAGTCTGAGGTGAGTCTGTCACTGACATATGGCGCCGACATGCAGCTCAGTGACAAGACAAACGTACACGTACAATGGTCGAAGGTACTCACCTATAGTACCCAAAGGGAAGGGTTGTAGAGAAGTCCTGGTACCGTGGCAGTGCTCTGTGATAAGAGAAACGGCTAAGAACAGAGCTAGGCGGGGGAGGGAAGCCATTGCCTGTTGGCCTCCAGCACACGGGGAACGTTTGTTATAAATCCTGGAGAGTTCAGTACTGTCCACCCCCCGACATGGTCTCTGGCTGGCCCGTGTGTGCCTGTGTGTCCGCTCACCACAAACTTCCCTTCCAGCTCCAATATGGCAGGCACCTAATGAATATTCATGTCCCCTCGCTGACGTACACTGACGTTATTCCCCTGAGGAAGGCCTTCCCTCAAGCTCATTATGAAAATGGCGGCCAGCTGAATGGTGGTACAACAAGGATCCCCCCCTCTCTCCACCGCGAGACAACGACGACTCTGCGCCAACCAACACGAGCACTTCTGGAACCGCACGCACTCACAGACACACGCGCGCGCACCGCACAGGGAGAGGGAGCCGGGGAGAAAGCAGGGCTAGTAGTGCTGTGTCCTCGAACAGACTACCCACAGTTCGATGAAGACCGCCCGAGTCTTGAGGTGTGTGTCAACACACCACCCGCCACCCGCCCGTACCCACCCGGCAATCGTCGATAACACCACCGTAGCTGTGAACCATCTCTCTCTCTCACTCTCTCTCTCTCTCTCTCTCTCTCTCTCTCTCTCTCTCT